AAACAGCTCCTCTTTAATCCAGCCCAGGCCTCTCTAGTTTCAACCAGTTCTCTTGTCCCCCCGCTGCACCCCAGGCTGGCTCTGTCTTGTCAGGAATGCCCTCGCAGGACTGGGCAGGTTGCTGCAGGGTTCCTCAGAGCCCTCTCTCCTCCAGGCTGAGCAGGCCCTGCTCCCTCAGTCTCTCCTCACTGCTCTTGCAGTCCTCTGCTGAACTCAGGCCATTTTGTTGCAGGCCTGTGCTTAGAAGGAAAGCACGGAGTAATGGATGAAGAGCTGGAGGAGCACCCAAAACTTTGTCTGACTTCACTGTGCCCTTGTGGGTGGCACTGTGTGCGCAGGCTCCAAAGGGCTGATGTGTTGGGAATGCTCAGCCTCATTCCACGTACGCTGTTGCCAAAATATATATTGAGATGGCATCAGTTCACAGCTCCTAAGTTACATATTTGGGACATGTTCATCTCTGGGTTGAATTCAGAACATCCCATTGGGATTTATGAGCCGCTCTGCGCTTTCCCAAGCATCCTGTGCAGCAGACAGGTGTGTGGAGGGATCACCTATTTAACAGGGCTGTTTCTGGGACAAGGAGCCTCCCTTCTGCTGTTCTTCAGATCCAGAAAGCCTCATTGAAGGCAGAGAAGAAACTGCAAGCAGAGGGCTTTGGAGTCAGTTAGTTGAGGCAGCACTGTGTCAGGAGAGTGAGGAGATGGAGTTTGGGTCATGAAAGTGGTGCAGGGAAGAGCAGAACAAACAGCACAGAAGCTGCTAGACACACCTTCAGCTCTACTCGCCCAAGGCTATTTCCAGTCACAAACAAAGAATTATTTGTGGAAGCCACATTACTAAACTAAGGACTTAATAGCCATTGATGCAACACCTCTGTGAGGTAAGGAAAATACAAATTTATGATCTGCAAAAGACCACCCCGCTTACCACTAGTCCAGTTTCCAATACTTTACCAAGGATACTTGGGTTTCAAATACTAGGGACCACAGCCTGCCCTCTCAACCTAAAAATCAGATAGCCAACTCTATCCATAATCCAGAGAAGTTTGATCCCCTAGAATAAAATGTATAAAACCCAAGAAGCTGAGAAACTGCTTAAATTAGACAGGGAGTCAAGGAGAGGCCCTTCAGCATCTGTTTAGCTGCTGTCTGTAATTTGATTTCCAAAAAGAAATCTCTGCTTAGGATTTCCTAAATGCCTCATAGAGTTGGCCACCAAAGCTGCTTTCAGTCCCATTGTATCATGACTGTAGGTGACCGATATTTCCCCCCTCTAAAAATACTGCAGGCCCCTACTACACAGCAACTAATCATAGAAGCACAGGATGGCTGAGGTTGGAAGATCATCTTGTCCAGCCCCTCGCTCAAGCAGGGCAGCTAAGCAGGTTGCCCAGCAAAGCCATGAAGACTTTCTACACATCATTAAAAGAATAAAAAACTAATAGCAGAGATTGTACTTATAGCAAATGCAATATAAATACAAATATGAAAAATGCTGAAAAATGGTTTCCATAAAATACGCTGGTAATGAAATCCCCACCCCAGTAAAGCAGGTTATGCACATGACTATTTCTCTCTGAACTCTTATTAACTGTATGTTTAAAAGACACATTTGCTAAAAAAACTTTTTGAACAAGAACTCTAAAAATACAGCATTTTTACTGCAGAGACAAAATACCACCAGCTTGAGATATAATTAAACAAGGCATGGAAACTTCATTGTCAGAGTGAAAAATGAAGAATAAATAAATAAGTCTGCAGAAAATAATGAAGCTTTCAAATAAGAATGCCTTTTTCAACACTAGTCCGACAATCTTGTTTGACTTCAGGACCTCTAGACCACCACTGCTCCATCTCATAACACTGAAGGCTGCTATAGTCAACACAACAAACCTTCCCACATTCCTACCGTTCATTTCATTTTAAAAAAACATGAGGTTAATAGCTGATAGATGTTTTGCATCTTTTCTGAACAGCTTACACATCTAATAACTGCTCTGTTTTGGAAGAAGCCCTTGTTAAGTCACTGTTGAAAATTTCAGCCCCAAAATATCCAAATCTTAGCCTAAAGGAGAAACATGAGAACAAACAACAAGAAACAGCAGAGGTTACTAGAACAATTCATGTTGCACGGTGGGTAGCATATATTCTGTATACAAAATTAATATTTGATGTAATGTATTGCAATTTGCTTTCACATTCTATAATGCTCTTATGTTCCCATCTCACTCTCCAGCAATGGAAATTATGGTATAGCTGTAGTTCTGTATTGCAGCCTATATGGAAAAAGCCCCACTGAAGTACACTTGAGTTTTGAACTGCAAAGGAATGGAGAATACTTCAGACCCTAGATGTCTAAGCCATGGCAAAGTAAGAAAAGACAGGAAGCAACAAATACAACGAGCTCCTTAGAACAGAACACAAGAATCTAATAATAAAATAATGTAAAAATGAAGACTTGCCTCAATAAAAAAATAGGATAAGATTTGACTCTGGTAAATGAATCTGTTCAGAGAAAGTCTGCACAAGAAGAGCTAATAGCCTTAACCATAGTTCTGCCCACACCATCACACCTACTGTTTCTCTTGAATGGATGAGCCATTTGTTTCAGTACACACTTGAGACCTCCTTTCATAGAATCACAGAATGTTTGGGGTTGGAGGGGACCATAAATCCTATCTAGTTCCAACTTCCAGCCGTGGGCAGGGCTGCCATCCAGCAGCTCAGGCTGCCCAGGGCCCCATCCAACCAGGGCATGAATGCCTCCAGGCATGGGGCACCACAGGTTCTCTGGGCATCCACAACTTCCACATTTCATTTTGACTTCAGAGATGCTGTAGATGTAGAGAAGCCAGGGTGGAAGTACAAATCCTCACAGTGAGGATTGTGACTACACGAGGCAAGTTGCTGGCTCCTATGCAGTCATAGTGCTCTGATGTCCCCATTTGCAGGCTACAGCCTGGGGTATCACCTGCAGTGCCAGCTGGAGATAACACACATAGACTTTCTCCACACATTCTGAAGGAATCCTTAATAAAAAAGCTGGCTTTGGGTTGCTTCTGTCAATTTACTTGAGAGCTTTCAGACAGAACCCTACAACCCAAAAATCTGCATCCCCAAACCTCCACAACACAGTTGCCCAAACCAGCTCAGACCAAATCCTGCCTCACTAATGTCATCATAGGCATCATTTGCTTCTGCTCACAGACAGGAATCTGATCTGCACTTAAAGAACAGTCATAAAGTTGGTGTTAACAGAGAAGATTAGAAAATACTTTATAGTGACAGGAAGGGATATGAGCAAATTCTCCATTGCAGGGCTGCATGCGTGACAAGACTCAGTGCAGTTTCTCCTATCAAGAAAGAACAAATCTTCTGGAGAATACAGGGAGGACAAATGCCCCATCTGCAGTGATGGAGAGCTCTGGAACTGAAAGCCCACACCCTGACCTGGAAACAGGAGTGGCTGCTCTCTGGCTTGGCATCAGGCAAGCTACAAGAATTTTGCTCTTCCCTTTTCCATAGATATCTCCGTATCCATGCTGCGCTTGGCACAGCATGAAGGCACAGCCCTGTGGGACAGCTGCAGAGCACACAATCCATTGACTTCAAGGGGAAGTAAACAGGAAGAGAATTTGTGCCCATCTTTGATTTCAATTAACCATGTTGACTAATCCCTCTAGCTTCTGAATTCACTCTCAGTTCCCTGTACTACCCCTTCTACCTGTGGCCATGTGCACCAATGTGTCATCCATTCCATTAGTGCCTTCATGTTCCTGCCAGTAGCATATCTCCATCTGTGGACTATTGATTTCAAAGTCCCAAGCCTACTGCATAGACTCAGCAGAGATAGGGAGGCAGTTATCAAGTTGAATAGGTTTTTCTGGAAATTAGCTTTCTTCTTCTTTAACACATAATTTTTAAATTCTTGCGGTCCATGGAGTAAACCTGTAGCATAACATATTTACCTGCAAGTAAAGTGAAACCTTCATTTTATTTAAAATGTTTCCAGAAGTGCAGCAAAGCTGATGGTCTAAAGAATACTTGTATCTGATCTGAATTCATTGAGTGATTTCCCTCAATTCCCTCCACATACAGAATGTGGTCCTGATTACTGAGTGAAGAGAATTTCTGCATGTTATATACAGTGAGATGTTTTTGCAGAACAAAACATTCCTTTTAAATCTGGGGGAAAATAATCTGTTCAGTACTTTCCCTTCCCTATTTGAAAGAGGGAATCCTTTACATTCTAATACCGCACAGAAGCACTCTGCAGTGTAGGGCTATCAGTGCTGTAAATGTACGCACATACCCCTTCTGGGATCCCATGTGTGTGCACAGCCTCAACCTCAGGTTATTTCCCTTCATGATGAACACAAGAGGAGTGATGATATCTCAGTCATGTCCAACAGAGCCAAAAGGTGCCGTATAGCACTCACCTACCGTGTGCTCTGGATGCTACAAAACCACATTTGGAAGCCCAACTCCAACCAGCCCTCGTATCAAACATTTCTCCTTTCAGCATGACGCAGAACTTTAATTTCCACTGAGTGGGGGTGACCTCAAGACTACTTTCTCTGCCCGGATGGCAGCGATTCCCCTGGCTGCCGGAACGAAACCAGCCTATAAATAACTTCAGAAGGAATCGTCTCCCTTCCCAGGCACTGCAGACAGCTGTTTACACGGCTCCCACGTCCGAGCGTTAGCTCAGCGCTCGGCTCAGCGCGGTTTAATTTCCCTTCTCAGCATCCGCAGCCGACGCAGCCGTGCCCCGAGCTCCCCCCGGGGCGCAGATGTCTGCCGCCACGAGCCGGAGGTCCGTCTTTAGCCCCGGCTACAGCCGAGCCCCGCTCCCCTCCCGCTCCCCTCCTGCGGATCCCCGCGGCCCGCACGTCGGCTCGCCCACCCCCGGGGGGCCGGAGCGGGGCTCCCCCGTCACGGACACGCGTGGGCAGCCCCGCAGCCGGCGGGGAGAGACAAAAGCCCGGGCCGGCTCACCTCCTTCAGCTGCTCCAGCTCCTGCTTGAGGCCGTCATACTCCGCCTCCAGCTCGTCGTACTGCTGCTTGAGGGTGAGCTTCTCCTCCAGCACCACCAGCCCATATTCCGCCGCCTGGATCTTCTCGTGGGTCGTCTCGGAGAGCTCCCGGGTCAGCCGCTCGATCTCGCTCTTGTAATGGTCCGCGCCCTGCAGCACCTCCTCCGCAGCCATAGCCCCGCCGGCTCTGCCGTTCACCGCGTCGCCGAAGCAGCGAGGGGGCGGGCGCGGCCGAGGGGCGGCACCGGCACCGCCGACCTGAGGGTGGGGACGGGGATGCGGGCGGAGATGGGGCCGCCGAGCGCCGCCCCGCCGCAGTCGCGCCCCCGGCTCCGCCGCCGCTCTCGCCTCCCCCGGCCCTGCGGCGGCCCCGCAGGAGGCCGGGGCGGCGATTGGGGCGGGCGGGAGCGCGCGTCGGTGCGGCGGCTCCCGGGAAGCTGCCGGTGCCCTCCTCTGCGCGCGGGGCCGGCACCCCCGCCCCCACAGCGCGGTCCCTCCCCTGCGCTCTTCAAGATGACGGCGGCCTGTCGGGTTCGGTCCCGTCCGGCGGCCCGGAATGAGGTGGGGATGCGGAGCGATGGGAGCCCTCTCACTTGGCTCAGCGGGTTGTGGTGACGACCGCGGCACCGCGGCGATGTTAAAAATAGAACAGGAGATGCGGTCCAGGAGACTGCAGGAGCAGTGCTGGCTGCCAGGGAGCTGCAAGAGAACCACTGCCTGCTCCCGTCCCCGTGCAAGGACCACAGCGCTGAGCTGGGGCCGGTGCACCTCAGGCTGAGATGCCAGTGCTATTGATCATAGAATTATATAATCATTGGAAAATACCTCCAAGATCATCTAGTTCAACACCAGCCCATTCTCACCATGCCCACTGACCACGTCCCTCAGTGCCACATCCACACAGTCACTGAATATCTTCAGGGACGATGACTCCACCATCTCCCTGGGCAGCCTGTGCCACTGCAGCACCACTCTTGCTGAGAAGAAATGTTTCCTAATATCCAACCTGAACATCCTCTGGGGCAGCTTGAGGCCATTCCCTCTTACCCTGTCATTGACACGTGGGAGAAGAGGCCAACCTCCATCTCACTAAAACCTCCTTTCAGGTCACTGTAGAGAGTGATTCATTCTCCCCTGAGATCAGACAGCAGCACTGATCCGAGTCAGATCAGCTGTGGTCACCCCATTGTTTGTCTTTCAAATTAACTGGAGGACCTAATGCATAGATTATGTCTATTTTATGCTGGCTGTAGAAAGACAGATGAAACATGTCTGGCTTGAAATGAGAGTGGTGCGGACAATCAGCCCCTGATCCCACACAAAGCCTGCCAGTGAAACTTCACACATCAGATTAAGGGCTTGTTACATCTCTGGCCTGGAAGAGTGAGCTCACACTAGATCAATTGCATTGGGCTTCGTGTCACAGCCTTTGTGACCTGGTACCAGACATCTTAAAGCTAAATTCACTGTTTCTTAAAACTATGGCCTGCAAACAACAGCCTTATCCCAATGCTTTCAACAAAGTTCCTCTGTAGCTACCACCAGGATCAGGTTTTCATGCTTTCAAAACATTTGTCATTATTATTATTTTAATACTAGCAATATCGGGGCTTTAAATGATGAAGTTTAACAACTGAGTTAGAATTTCCAGAGAAAGAAAGATGGTTTGTTTTAAAAATGATGCCAATATGGAAGGCATATATTGCAGTCCACCAATGAAGTGCTATATTGCAAATCTAAGACATCAATTCCCTTCCTTCCTCACCTGTTTTAAACAAACCACATCACCTTCCAACCCCAGCTTCATCCCATTCTAAGAGGTAGAAATATCTGTGTTCCTCTACAGAGTGCTTTGAGGTCTGTAAATGGAAGGTCCAACACCAGTCACATAGTATGTGCACACGGTGTACAGCATCTATCTAGATATGGACACGTAACTAAAGGATTGTAGGGTAGCCTGTGTAAACAGTACTTCTTGGTGCATAAAGAACATAGAATATCCCGAGTTGGAAGGGACCCATAGGGATCGTCAAATCCAACTCATGGCTCCACACAGCACCACCCAAAAATCAGACCATGTGTCTGAAAGCATTGCCCAGATGCTCCTTGAACTCTGGCAAGTTCGGTGCCGTGACCACTGCCCTGGGGAGCCTGTTCCATGCCCAGCCACCACGGGAAAAGGTGAATAACCTTTTCCTAACACCCAACCTGACCCTTCCCTGTTGCAGCTTCATGCCATTCCCTTCAGTTCTATCACTGGTCACCTGAAAGAGATCAGAGGAATAAGCAAAGTAACAGATGATCTGTCAGTTCTGTAGCTTGAAAGCAACTTCTCAACATGCTCATTTTTAATAAATTCTATTGCAGAAACAAGAGTGAATATCAATAAGGAAGCAGCAAGCGTGGCTATTAATAGATGAGAAGAGTGAGCGGCCCTCACCACTGAATATCAAAACAGGGAGGAAAAAAAACTGTATTCCAATTGTGATTCTTACAGTGTGTCTAATGACTTCTTTCTCTTCTTAAAACAGGATGGGAGTCCACAAGTCTTTGCAAAACAGACAAACCAAAATGGTAGCAAAATGTTTTCTTGAGAGCTTTTGCAAGTCCCTGGTTAGCCATCTTCAGCTTTGGAGCAATTTTGTTGTTGTTGTTGTGAAAACAAGCCTTTGGTAAGTATTCATTCAAGAATAGATTGGAAAACACCTTAAGGCCAGTACTGAAAATGAGCAGTTGGTTGAAGACAGGCTGAAGCAACAGGATGCTGACAGCTAATCTGTCCTTGGTGTAACTCCACGTGCATCATTTAGCTGACAATCTCACTCATAACCCAGAGGGCCATCGCACCACATGTCTGAACATCTGTGCCCTGGAGAGGAAATCTGGCTCAGTAAAATGTGTCATTTTTCTGCAGTACCTCACAAGAAAGTTAGGGAGAATCTTTCCTTTTAAAATTGAAAGGAGTGAAGCCCAGTGACTGTGCAGTGTGCAGAAGCTCACAGTGGCTGGGGGAGGGCTTTCATAAACTGTAAGTCATAGAATCATAGAACTGTTGGAAGGGAGTTGGAAAGGACCTCTAAAGGCCATCTAGCCCAACTCCTCTGCAGTGAAGAGGGATGCCACAGCTAGATCAAGGTGCTCAGAGACTGGTTCTGCAGCTACTCCAGATTGAAAATGCCCAGCATGCCTGTGATTTGCTGTCATCAGGATCCCTTTATTCTGCATCATGCCTCCCATATGCACGCACCACCAAATTCTGCTCCCTTGGTGAGATTTGTCATTGTTCTAGAAGTTTACTGCTTTGAAGTTTTCCTTAGGCTGAAATGATTCATGCTCCAGAGCTTCCACTTTCTCCTCTGACTCCAGGGAATCGAGGGTGGCAGCTCAGACACAGATCTATACTTTCCAGCATGCATATTTAATTACACAAATCCCACCTTCTATATCTTTACTGAGAGCTTAGAACTGGCACCCACACTATCAAGACTTCTCCTCATATATGTTTTATGGACTACTAAGGATGCCCTCTTGTCACCAAAATAAGGAGCTTTGGGTCATCTCATCCCCATCCTGTGGGGATAAGAAAGGATGGACAATCCTATAAATAGCATCTTAGTTATAGGGAAAGACAGTATTAAAGAAGGAAGTGCTACAGTATGACCCAAAGGTGGTCATTTTCTAGTGAATACCTCAAATGAAATCTCCTTTGATGGAGATATCTTGCTTTATGGACTGCCTATAATAATGTAGGGATGGCTGTGACTGTACTGTGGTGCCAGCAAGGTGTTGGTTTCAAGTAACAGATCTGATACTTTTGGGAGTATATTTATCAGTGTAGATAGCCCTAAACAATGAGCTGGATATTTTAAATAATTTCACTACATGAATATTCATCTCATGCTAGTTTAAGTCCTGCTACAATGCTTTACATTTTCTGCCTCTCCCAGCTCAAAAAGCCTGCTCCATATTGGGATGTGATTTAGTGGGTATGATGGCGATGGGTCGACATTTGGACTAGGTGACCTTAGAGGTCTTGTCTGACCTTAATGATTCTATGATTCTGTGATATCACCCTGCACTGTTATTCCTCTTTCATTTTGTCCTGCTGCACCCCTTTCACATGAATATTTCAAAACACTCTACAGTCATTTAGTGACACTCAACAGACCCTCTAAAATGGGCTTCTTTATGATTGCATCTGTTCCATGGGCAGAAATTGCTCTTTGACTTCCTGGCACAGGACACTGGCAGACTCTTATAAGGACAGTAGGTTCCCCTACCAAAAAATGCTATTCTGGTTATACATTTCTGGAGTCAATCAGGTATTCAAGGACAGGCAAAATGACACAGTTCAAATCTTGCTCAAGATAGCATCATCCAAACTCCAAATCACTGAAGTGACCTATGTGAAATGAACTACTGGACCTATACCTTACTGGAAGTGCAGCTGTAGAAATCCCCCTGCACTGTGTTACAGATATCTGAATCATTGCACCTGCAGCACGCACAGACATCACTTCAAGCCCATTTGCATGGAGCTTCGCACAGGTCTGGAGCTCAAATCTAACAACTGCTAATTAGCAGTGCTTGGCAGGCTTGCCAGAGTGCCCAAAGGAAAAAAAAAATAAAAGGTAGGAGGACCAATCTGCTATCGTTAGTAGGAATGGGATTGATTTCCTGAAAAAGAGGGGAAAAAAAGCACTGAAGGAAGCCAGTATAATAGCTGTCCTGTGTTTTGGAAATAAACAAGTGGCTGCTGTACTATCAAAGCTTCATCCTTCTCGAGCACTGAACATAAGCAACGTATTTGTAATGAATGACCAGCCAAGAGATAAAAGGAAGGCTCTAAGAAAATGAAATTTTAAAAGATATTTAGACATCACAGCACAATAGAAATGGTAATAGGTTTTAAGAAAATGAGTTTAAGAGAAACTAAACACAAGTTCATAAAAATTAATGCATATAATGAAACAAAAGAATGATGTTATCCTGATTAACATGAGTGCCAGTATTCAAAAAGGAAGGCTTTGAAATAACAGTGCCTTTTCTAAGTCCTTTTTAAAGGAGCTGCAAATGTTGGTAGGCTTAATTTTGGTGGATAGGAGCTTTTATATCAACCAAAATAATTTTGGAACCCCAAAACCTGAAAGAGTTGAAAACCAGCAATGTAGAGTGATTAAAAAAAAAAAAAAAAAAAAAATAGAACACTCAGATAATGAAATCGGGGGAAAAAAACGGATGG